TAAAACCTGCTCTTTTTGTACTTCCAACACTATTCATTCCATTTATCAAATGAAACAGTTGTCTGAAGAGTAAGATAGCTATACATTAACCAGTGTATTTTAAGCTAGGTATTTCTGCACTTCTGATAAAAAAAGAAGGGTTTGTTGCGTAGGCTCCCTTCATATTTTTATTCTTTCTATATATGGGACACTTGACCTTGCAGCTCTTTTGATCCATGCATTGCCTTTCAGGACAAGCAGAAAGACTAGAGAAATCAAAGAGATAAGAGTTAACAAACAGAAATCTCAGGAAAGGAACAGACCCAAGTATACAATCTGGGGAGTAAAAATACATAATAATAAATTAAAAAAGCCCTACAAACAAAACCTGCATAACCTATTTAACCCAAATATACACTAAAAGAATGTGGTAGTCTTTAGGTATACTGACAGCATTACACCACAGGACTCAAAACAGGTATATTCACACATTTTCCTCCAAAAATGAGCTCCTGGCAGTCCTGGAGATCTGCAATAGCTCAAATACTACCAGTCTGTCTTAAAGGCTTGTTCAGCTACTTCTCCCTACTGCAACAGTTGTGCAGAATGCAACAGCCAATAAACATCCTTCATTATTACCTACAAAACTGACATCACCCAAATATCATCTGCCTAGCATTCAGATGTTCAGCTTATTTTCCAATTCTGTGAGAAGAGTTCACATCACAACTTCAATAGTCAGAAAAACCATGAACAAGCAGACCACAAGTTATCCAAGGGGAATACCCAGGCTACTGCTCTGCGCTGTGTACAGCTCTGGCAAGAATCTCTTCTAAGGAAAACCAGGGTTGACTTGGATAATAATGACATGATGTACTTCTCCAGATTGTTTTGCATTAACTTTGAAGCCACGACAGTGGTTAACCACACAATTTAGGGTAACAACAACAACAAAATTTCCTATTTCTGAACACCATGGCCTGGAGAAGAAAACACGCCGAAAAAAGGTGAAAGTCTTCATTACTGTTATCATTCCAACAAAACTAAAGAATCTGATTTGCCAAACACTGTTTATGCCCTACTGGGGAAGTACCTCCAACCCAGAAGCCCCAACAGCAGATTTTCATAAATCTGTGGCTCCAACAAGACTGGCCAACAACAGGCTGGGCTTGCCATCCTCCAGACCAACAGTTAGGCTTTTACAGCTCCAGATAGGGGTGGTCAGGTGACTTCTGGTTTCACAAATCAATCTTCGGTGAGTTCTAAGCAGTCTTCCAGAAAACAGCTTTCTTGTATCACCGGTGAAATCACAAAGTGATCCAAAATCAGAAGCCTATCTTCATTTTTTTCCTGAGTATCCTGGTATTGGGTAAAATAAACCATTGCAATTACTTATCTTGGGCTTTGGTAATTTCTGTCACAAGGTTTTGCACTTTGTGAATGTGTCTAAGAATCTTAGAGAAGCACATAGTTGTTGGGAAGAAAACTTCACTATTGATAACTGGCTTAGACTGAGCTAAGAAATCATGTTTCTGTCTTTACCAGTTGAAGATGACTCCATTTCCCTCTGAGAAAAAAGCTGACAGGTTAATCTGTTTGGTTGTGGGTCTTTTTGTTTTGTTTTTTCTTTTTTGGGGGGAGTGTGTTTGTGGGTTTTTTTTAGAATTTTTTGTTTTGTTTTGTGAGATTTTATTTTTTCATTTGTTTGTGGGTTTTGTTTTGGTTTTTGTGGATTTTTTTGTTTCTTGTCCTTCAAGATTTGAAGTTAAATGTGTAGACCATTATTTCTTCAAAAGCAATGCCCTCTACATTTTGGTGAGGCAAAGCACTCGGCACTCTCCCCATTTTGCTCCCTCCCCTTCTCCCTGCCCACACAGGTGCAAGACACAGGTCACCCTGTTCCACTTATTGCAAATTAACACAGCCTGCTCATTACAACCAGCTGTCAGAACCTGTCACCAATTCATTTGCCTATACAGCCTCAGAGGTAAAGGCAGAAATTACGGATGATTTCTTCTCCTGGACTCTGGCAAAAGATAGCTTTTTCCGACAGGAAATAATTTTGCTGGTTTTTATTTTTGTTTGTTTTTTTTTGGGGGGGGGTTGGTGCTTGGTTTTTTTTTGCTTTTTTTCCTGTACACGTGCAGTAAGTTGTGTGTAAGCATAAAAATTTGCTGAGGTAGCATCTTAATGATAAGACTGTAAAGGTTGAAAGCCAATGCCAACCTTTTATTAATTTTTGTAATTCAGATGTAGGTTAAGATTAAAGGCCTGTTCTCACCTTGGTGGTGATCTCCAGTTCTCCTTTTAATCTGACAGGTTTAAAATTTAACTAGATGACCTGCCAGGGTTGCTTACGGATAGTATGCATCACCATGTCAGTCAAAGTAGAACAGCACTAACACTTGAGCATAAAAGCAGTAGGGATATAGCAATTAAAGAAGAGTTCTCTGTTTTTCTCAGCTTTACTGTTGGCATTTCAAAGGAAGTTAACAGACTTCTGCATGAATGCTTTATTACTACTTTTACTTTGGATTAACTATGAAATCAATCCAGTGTTAACCAAAATGCCTTAACTAAATTAATAGAACACTTACTTCCCCACCTCTGCTGGCTGAGAGGTGGATACAAAGACCAGAACCAAGGAAAGGGCAGAGCACCTATCAGCAGAAAGGACTTGGAATGGCTTGTGAGAAGCTGGCAGAACAGCCCGTGCCATCTCATCTACCTAAATGTTAACCAGGGATTTCCAGGCACTTGCAGACTACCCTTCATATCACACAGAACATAAAGGCTGTCAAAATACATGGGTTTTCTTCAAATTTACATTATTGCAGGTGTCTTTATATTTCTCTGCTCTTGCTGTTTCTGGGTATGAACATACAAGACTGCTCCAGCTGGTCTATGTTTTATTTACTAGTGCAGACCACAGGAATCATCCTAAGTTTTTGGTTTTTTTTTCCTACGAAGGTATTCTGAACATCCAGAATCTACTGAAGAAGGATGGCAAGCGAGAGCTAGCAAACAGCTCTGCAGTTCTTATTTCTTATAGAATCCAGGGCCCTCTATGTCAAAGGAGCAAACCGAGAAATATTTCTCACAGGTAGAGAAAGATTAAAGCACTTTAATCTTTTTACAGCAGAAACAGCAGAAATGTTACTTCCTGGTCTCTCAGTCCAGAATATTCAGTCAATTATCTTCATTGAAGGGAGAAAATGTCATGTTTTGCAATGTAAAAATTGGTGTTGATAAAAACTGTCATATCTGCAAGGAAAAAATGAACACCACTAACTTGGTGAAACCACCTGGAACAATACTTGAAAAATAAAAAATTCCACCTGAAGACCATAATGACATATACACACACGTGTGTAGACAAACACACATGCACATACTCACAAACCTGCAGAGCTAGGAAATGTGTTTATGCTGGGTAACTAGCAAGAAAGCTTGCAATTCAGCACTGGTGAATATTACATGCTGTGCTGGTTTTGGCTGGGGTAGACACTTGCACATGGAGATACTGAGAGGAGAAATTTACCCCTGGAAACATCTTCCCAGAAGCCTCTCATCTCTGACTTCCCATACCCTTCATCCTCTTCTGTGGTAGCCCCCTTGTCTGGTCCTTTGAATCTGTGTGAGTCAAGAACTCATTTTTAAGTACAGGTTCTCTTAACAAAGGCGTATTACTTTAAACTGAGGCCTAGACATGCAATAGGGTATGTATCTATATACATACACATAATACATGCACATACTAAAAAATACAAGACACTTGTGCAATACTTTACCACAACGAATAAATATGTATCATCATCCTGTGGATATTTTCTGCCAAGAACTATTCTGTTCCTAGATGAATGCTAGGGAACATGCCTGTGCAGGTTACTGTTACCTTGTTCAGAAAAGTAGCCATGGAAAAGCGCTAAGAAAATATATGGGGAATGCCAACTTGAAATCTCAGTTCCATTCTGATGAAATACTACATTTTTATGTTACCCCCAAAAAACTGCTTAATAAGGTGTTTTAATGTTTTTTTTTCACAGCTGTGAACAATACATATGGCAAATACACTGATCCTTCTACTAAGAAACAATAAATTTTTCAGCTGCTTTTCCTTATAGGAAAGTGTGGAAATTTCACTAAGGCAGAGGAACAGTAAGTCAGTCATGTTACATCATTTGTACTCCTCTAAATCCTTTAGCAGAATTACCGCTTGAGGACTAACCTTTGTTTCTGAAAGTATTACAAAAAAATAACTTTACAGAATATTGATTATTTTAAAGATTAGATTAATAACCAGTTATTTAAATCTTTACTGATAAGAAATCTGATTTTTCCAACAAAACTGCCCGCATTATTGGGAACTGCATTACTTTTCTCACAGCATAGAGATATCAGTACTAGACTTTAAAGTTGACTGACGCATAGCAGCTGCGTGAAATAAACCTAATGTGAGTATATAAATCTAATATACAGTCTAACACCTCTTTACCGACACAACACAAAGTATTTATAGTACTAAGGAAGATTGGCTTGTGCACCTCAGATTTGGAATAGTGGTATGAGGATGAAAAAATTAGCCCATGGTCTTTACACGACCTAGAGGGCCAGCCTGGACAACAGAGTAAGCTGAGACAACATTGTTTCACCATGAGTAAACCCGCCTCCTGCAGGAAGACTAATCATCTGAGCAAAAAGTGAACCTGCTTTTGAGCTGCCTAGTTTACAACTCAGTTTTATCAATGTAAAAGGAAACTTCTTGATGCAGTTGCTTACGTGAAGATGTTAATCTAAAATTTCAGACAGCTTAGTGTCAAACACACCTCCAGAGCTCTGTTACCTGGAGGCAGCAGAAAGGTGGAGGTGATAAACATTTCGGCTACCCCAGGTAACCGGTTCAAAGCAAATGCAAGGTGACACCTAAATGTACTTACCCCTGCCAAAAAGAATTACCCTGTTTTTAAATTCTTATTTAATAACTACTGTTAGAGCACAAAGAGGATACAGAAATACTCATCTATAAAAATTGTCTTCAATACAAGCGTTGAATTCTAATAATATTCTAAATCCACCTAGTATCCAAAAGTTTCTTACGGTTAAATGAAATCAAAATGAAAAAAAGCCCTTTTATTTTGTTTTCCTCATCCTGAAGACAACAAATTCCATAAACTCCTCAAGTGCTAACTTCACAAGCAACTTGTTCTACAATCTCCCAATTCATCTGTACTGTCTGCATAGCAAGTATTAATGGTGGATTGTTTGTTGTATTTACAGCAAGTTTATTGGGGAGAGGAAAAGTATTCTTTTACAAATGAGCCATGTTCACTGTTGAGATTATTTCCAAAAAGAGCATTCAGAAAGCAAACCTGAATATATTACATTGACAATTATTTTTCAATATTTTAACATCAGCCACTTAAAACTGGTTGGGTTATTAGCACATATACTGATCTTTAAATATACTACTTCTACATAAACAGTGCAAATCTCAATATTCACATCAACCTGAAATTAATGCTGCAATTACTGTTGACATTCACATCAAGAAAGTAGTAAACTATTTCACATGAGCAATTCCAAAACCTTAGAATGCCATTATTAATATTAAAGAAACACAGAACAAACACATGGGGCTTCAAAGCCTTGTTTTGATACACACAATCCCTGTAAACATGGATGTATTGTACTTGTCAATACTGATATGATATAATTTTATAAATAAAACCATTGATATAAACAATTCCTATAACCATTTTTTGCATAGGGTTTGGATTAAGGTTACTTTAAGACAGAGCAAGCTGTTAACAAAATCCTCTAGTCAATTAGTCTTCCATCACACAAATTCAGGCATATGATTAAACTTTACTCAAGGAGTCTCTCTGACTTCAGTGAAAACTTACACATGTAAGCATATGCAAAACTGGAGTTAACATTAACACTGAAGTTACCCCTAATCATTGAGAATACAAGCAATAAAAGAGCTCTCCATAAATTTATAAAATATACCAATTTAAAAGTTTATGCTGATGTTTCTGTAAGTCACATTTATGATTCCAAACAGTTATGTACATACTATACTATCACAGTAGGAAATATTTCACTGTAGAACGCCACAGTGAACAAGTTGTGAAGCACAGTGTTCAATATAATTTCCCTTTAGTATTCCCAGTGCATAAGTTGTTAACATCTACACTACACAAGGTGCCCAGGTCTAGTATTTGTTATGTACAATGTAAAAGCAAGATAGAAAGAGCTTTGCATTTTAAAGTAAGGAATGAAAACAGTAGGTAATATACAGGGATTCACTCCTGCAAAATACAGAATTCTCCTTCACAATGACCACAACCACTGAATATGGTGGATTTCAGGTCATTCAACCCAGTAAAACAGTGCTCAGCACCTTGTAGGAAGAGAGATCTGAGTGCACTTTATTATAAAACATCTCCTTTCGATGTCATAAAGTGCAAAAAACATATATCCTAATATTTTACAGTCACTATTAAACTGCCATATTTGCACAATGCAAAATTCAGTAACTTCTTATACATTTTGTATGGACCCTATAATAACAAATGTTGAGACTGGAGTTTTGCATCTCTAAAAAAATTCTTAGTATTTTAAAGATATTGTGTAAATATAAAAAGAAAATATAAATTATAATTAATTCTTGAAATAGATATTTTAACATGTGAACATTTTCCAAAGCATTCAGTATGAAATTTCACTTTCTCTTACAGCATTACATTTTAGAATCTGTAAAACATTTTAAAAGCCTATACCTTGAAAAAGTAGAAATAAAAATTGTTGTATCACAGTACCAGACACCTCACCTCATCAGACATCTTTTACCCCAGATGTTTCTAAAAAATTAAAATAAAAAAAAACCCAAACAACTCAAGACTTATATTCCCAGTTGTTCAGAACAAGATACTTGGAGTTACTTCTTAAAAGAACGTAAGAATTGCATAAATTCATTTCGCTCTTCAAACTCAAACAAATGGGGTAAATCGTAACAACAAATTTAAGAGGCCTTAAAATACTATACTGCTTTGGTGCATTGTACCAGTGACTCTTTACATGCATGAAGAATCAAATTTTATGACATTCTTCACAAAGCTGGGTAAAAGCAGAAGTTTAAAGAGTTTTATACATGTTACAGAGCTATCCTTTCTTTTGAACACTGGGGAAGAAAACAGGAGGAAGACTGACACTGAGAAACTGTCTTCCTCCAAGCTGCACCATGAGCATCATAGCTCCTGACCTTGGGCTTCACTGCACAATAGTAATTTAGCCCTAGGAGAATACAGTGTTGGTTGTATAATAGTTTTATACCATATCCAGTGATACCAAACTTAATGCTAACAAGAAATGTATTGAAATACAAAGGTAAAAAATGATTGAAATATATTTTTAAAGCAACAGACACATTAATGTAGCCTGCAAACCACAGGGAGTTTGGGGGGGGGGAGAAGACAATATAGGTTTATAATAAACTACCAAGTTTATGACCACTTAAATCTTCAAGACAGGGTATTCTCTGCTTTTCAGTCAGAGAACTGGAAGATGGTTTCTGGGTTATTGCTGTCTGTGGGGTTTGTTGGCTGCAGTGTCTTTGTAGGTGTAGTTTTACCATGAGAATGAGAGGAAGAAGAATGTGAACTTTCACTGGAGCTGCTACGTGTCTCTGTGCTTGTACTTGTTTTTTTCATTTTCCTTCTCTTTGCAAGAGGTGCCTTGTCAACATTCTGCAGACAAAATCCTTCCCTTTTGTACTTGTTAAAGGCCTGTTTAAAAATAAAAGGTAATTCTAAGCTTTCCAAGAGGCTTAAGACATTTTATGGCTTGTAGTTTATTATGAATGTTCTATGGTAAGTCATAAGATAAACTGTAATCTATTGAAGGATCTCTATGAATAACTTTAACAATAACTTTACTAGCCTTTAAAAGTATTCAAGTGCCAATACATAACATTATTAATTCACATTATCATCTTGTTGTTTTTAATGTTTTCTAATTGTTTTTAATTTAGAAGTATTTTTAATTAAGCCTTAAACCTATTTAGAAATACATTTTCAGGAACCATGCTTTGTTAAACTTCACTGGTTTTCTTTCAGCCCAATTTATGTTGCATTATCAGGACCTCTCCAAGTAACAATTATTTTCTTTTTCTCTTCTTGGTAATAAACATCTGTAAGTATTTCAGCATAAATTTGCTCAATTACTGTTTACTCTCTGCAGAAGGGAACTTGAGAATCAACATTATGTTTGTATAATACAATTTCAGTTCAAACATTTTTAATAAATATACAATGGTAGACAAGCAAGTCCATTAAAAAAAAAGTATCCATGATTTTAAAAACATGAACTAGGTATGTTTCAGAAATGTTACCTCAATTTTTTAAGCATAAGGACAAAAAGTCAAACAGTCACTTAAGTTAAACAGAAAGAGTCTATTTTTTTCCTAAGTTTGAAGACCTTTTAAAATATTTCTCTAGGAAACATTTGCAATACCTACTTCATGTACAGCCATGTGTCTGTCCCTAAAACCCCACTAATATAAATCTCTTAAAAAAATATATTCTTGCCTCATCATTCATGTTTTCACTCTACTTAATCACAGATGTTAGATACCGCAGAAAAAATTGCAGCTATAAGCAACCACTGAATTATAAGCACAAATACGTATTTTTAATTAGGAGAAAACGTACAAAAAAATCTACATTAACACATTACAAAATTTAGCACGTGACAAAAGATTTCTCAGAACTTACATGAAAAGTGGCTTTGACATATGTGTGCACTGCAGCTCCTGAGGAGCCTAAGTTATCAGGAGTCATTAGAGGGTTGGACGACAGCTGGCTGCCATCCTGAAGCCATTCGTTGTATCTCAGGCTGGACATTTTTATTCTTTTGTTTGGATCCACTGTTAGAAGTCCTAATAGGAATATATTACATTCTCTTAAATTGTGAGCTCTTTATTTTCTTTTAATAGAAAGTTGGATTATTTTTTAAGAAAATCTCATGTATTGCTTTGGTAAGTAAATAATGCCATTATTTATCTTAGGTATGCTAATATTTATCCTAGGTAAGGCTCACACCATGTTATACTGTCATTCTCTCCAGAAGAATCATTAAATACAAGAAACTGCCATTTAATTGTTTGATAATTCGCATATCTTCACATTAACTCAGAACTACCAATAATTTCTTCTCTTAAAATCTCTCTAGGATTTAGTTCAGGAGGGTAGACTGAATGTTGAAATGCCTACCTTTTTGGCAGAAAAATTACTTACAAGTCTGCTTCTAAAGAAATTCAGAACTCAACCTCAGTTAAATTAGGACTGGTGCCTATCTCATGCTGAAAATATAATTAGATGCTCAAAAGCTATGGGGAAATCAAAGCACGGCAAATGTGAATGAAGCAGCTCAGAAATACAGCAGTTGTGGTACATGCATTCAAAACCAGCCAGAGTAAAAGTGACAGGAATACATTCATTTTCTGCAAAAGCTCAGCTTTTAAAACATCTCATAACTTGGTATTTTTACAAAGCAACCATAACATAAAAGAAGAAATCTGCTTTTAAATACGTTTTAAAAGAGTGACTTCACTTTTTCTGAAACTCTTTGGCTACTTTTAACCCCACACACCTTCCATCAGCATCTCACTATGTTAGAAAGCTCTCTGCTAGGTGTACAGGCAAGTTGTAGTGCCGTTCCAATGTGTCCACCTTTATTCATAACTTGAATTAGGGGCTCAGTACATAGCTTAAGCTGTGGATACTATTCTGTCAGGTTAGACACTGACACATATGCATACTTCTCTAAACTTTATCTTTTGAGATAAGAACATAAGATACATTAAATATTTGTGAATACGTACCTTGAATTAACTCTTTAGCCTCTTCAGAAACATTTTTCCAAGCTTCTCCTTCAAAGGAAAATTCTCCCTTTTTAATTTTCTTCATAATTTCCAATGCACTGGTACATGTTAAACTTTTGTCTTGAGACTGAAATGGTACCTGTCCTGATAGCATTGTATACTGTCATAAGAACAAAAGTAGTATTAACAAACACAGTATATTTGTTGACAGTCTTATTACTAAATACGGAAAGCTTCTGTATGCATCACCACTGCTACACAATAAAACTACCACTAGTGTATCTCTGAGGGCTACAGAAACTTAAAGTATGCAAGACTTTCTTTGGAGTCCTTGTTAGAACAAAACAAACAAACAAACATTCATGTTTCATGAAAATATCTGCGAAACACAATGGTATTTCTATCCAGTTTATACCTACGGAAATTAATTTTCTGTAAATCAGAATGCAGGTTGGTTTCTTCTCTGAAATGAGTATGTATGAAGATGGATGCCTGCTAGATCTTCTAACAAGATCATCTCTTTTTAAGAACCAGATCATATCAAGTACTTTTTCCATTCCCAGAAATGCTGAATTTAACTTACTGCTTTGGAAAAAACATCTCCATTCCTAGAAAACATCAGTCTCTGGAATCTATTATTTGTGCAGAGTATTTTCACTTCACTTGAAATATCATCTATCCAATTCAAGTCTGAAATTATGTCAAGTCCTTTGCATTTTAACAAAAAGTAAATACATAAAATGAAGTTACAATTGAAAACCTCTATCACTCACCAAAATGACCCCCAAACTCCACAGATCACAGGACTCGTCATAGCCATTGTGATTCAAGAGCTCTGGGGCAGCATAATGAAGAGTAAAACATGGAGTCTTAAGAGGCTGATTATCAGGTGGTTTTAAACGAGCAAAGCCAAAGTCAATTATTTTTATTTCTGAATTATCAGTTTCATCCGTAAATAACAAATTCTGTAAAGCAAAGACAAAATCAATACCAGCATCGGGTAGAAAATTGGTTAGAATACTTAAATAGTTATATTTTCCTCCACATTTAATGCTGCAGAAATCTATCTAGGGAAAAGGGGAACTGAGAGACACTGGGGGGAAAAAATGGAGAAGTAGGAATAACGGTACTCTGGGATGTAAGAAAATACGATGTGTTTATCCACCTCCTGAAAATCTGCAAGTTGAGTTAGTTCTGTCTGAGATTATTAATGAAAATGGGTATTCAGCAGAGAACAATAAGGAAAATAATTTGGGGAACACTGACAAGGAAAAAGCAAAAGATATCAACATAAGCGGAGAATTGCCTTCTTCCTCAAAGTATATTTTCTTTAACTTCTTCTTCCTTCTGGCATGCTCCAAAGGACAGCTTTCTTGCATGTGGAACTCGTTACATGTCTTGTCTTGCAACTGAATAGTCTTTGGTCCTCAAGTAGTAACACACTGTAGCCATATTGCTATGGGCACAATGACGCAAAAGAAAAATTTGCAAGTGAAAGATGGCGGACCGGGAAGTTCAAGCACTGAAGGTCACAGAGCAGTTCAACCTCTAACCAGTGGCCTACTCCTTACACCAAGGTAAAGAAACTTTGATACAGTAGTCCCCGAGAATTCCAACTTTACAGACTGGAACGTGGCATCTAGGACTTGAAGAGAGACAAGTTGTTGTCAGTTTGGAAGAAGATTTCAGACAATCTGTTCTTCTTTTCCCCTGAGTATTTATTTTTGTCATGATAAAAAGACAATGATAAAAGAGCGAAGCTAAGTTTTAAGAGAACTGGCGGAGGTCAAGATGAATTATAAAATATTTCTACTCCCCCTTTGAACTTCTGAGAGAAAGAGAGCAAATTATTTTTTGTTGCCTTTGCTGTTTAACCTATGCAACACTAGAAAAAGTCACAATATTAGAAATCCTATAGCCTATGCAAATTTGTAAGACAAGAAGTGAATTACTAATTTCAAACTCATTAAGAAGGGGGAAAGAAAAATGATTGCTAGACTGCACGCAGATCAGTAAGGACAACCTGAGAGCATTTATTATGGATAAAACAGAATAGCTACTACAAAATTTTGCATTCTGTACTGCTGTTATACATTAATGCACTATTAGAAAAGTCAGTTTTCTGTATTAGAATGTTGTGCAAAATGGATCTGAAGGAAAACAAATTTCAGTAGAAATATTAATACAGTGAGGACAGCCAATTAGTACAATCGTTCTTTTTTTTTTTTTTTTTGGTTTTGGTTATAAAGCCAACAAGTAAATAACTGCAGTGACATTCAATTAAAAAGACCTTTCCTAAGACATGATTCTTTCTTAAGACAAAAACGAAACTGGTTATGTACAGAAAGAAAGGTACAGTCCAAATGTTCTAAGCCATCTTCAGACTACTTCATTTATCTGGTAAACACATAGTGTTACATAAAAACCACACTAAATTATCTATTTTCTATCCAGTACCTTTTCCTCTATTTTGCAGAGCAAATACGTGACCTAATGACTATTGCTTAGATCACAAAAGCCTTCCATCCAGTTCATGCAATTAAAAAAGCACCTCATCCTTAGCGACATCTGACCAGCTGTATTTTTTAAAACAGACTTACCAGTATCACATTAGATGTAAAATCTGAACATCAAACAAATCTGACTGAAATTGTTAGAAAGGAAACAATTTCCTATATATATATATATTTTTTTTTTACAGAAAGGTGCACTAACCACATCTATATTGGGAAGCCTGCATATCCCATACCAAGTTCATGTGGAAATCTAAAATAGCAACTTTCAAAACAACAGGCAGGAAGGAGACAAGCTGGTTAAGTCCAACTTTGTGGAGGCAATGCATTCTGCAAGCTGTTTGCTAACCCTTCATTACTTGGACTTCCCAGACTTCTGTTCTTGAACATGATATAGAATTGAAGACTACCTAATTTACCATGCAGCTGAAGCTCTGCTTTACAGAATCTGGCCTTTACATTCAAAATGGTAATAAGGCTAGAATGATGAGAATAGAAGAAAGGATTTCTGGGTTTTGCCCTTTAAATAATCAGTTTCAAAAGCTGTTTTCTTTCCTTGATGCTGTCAGCAGAAAAACGTTTTCCAAGAATCACATTTTTAATTAGCACATTAGAATTTGACAATAGCCCCTCTTCATTTAATTGTTTATTTAATGCAGAGACTCCAGTACAGATTTGTTTTCAAACATGTATTTTGGACTAATTCTGGAAAACAGTTATACATACAACAGTTATAATACCAATACCTAGCAGACTTCTTCACCTGTTGAGCTGGGATTACGATAAAGGAAGTAAGTTTGTAACACACCAGAAGGTATGCTACAAAAGCAAAAAACATTGGTAAGAATGGTGGATCATTTTAAACTCCAAATACAAAAGCAGCAGCTACTTCCTGAGGTATGATGACTGTAATCACCAGTACAACATCCTTACTGGATGAACTAACATCAAACTATACTATTTGTGGGCTAAAGATAACTAACAAGTATCCAAACCCATTATTGCCATAGGAAAAGGAGAAAATACGGGCTGCAGAAAGAAGAACAAAGTCAATGGTCAGCCTTACTATAGGAAACTGAATTGCCTGGAAGGCAAGCTGTTGCTGCACAAGAAAAATATCAGAACAAGAAACTATTGAAAAATACATATTAAATGATTGTATCTTTTGGGAAACCACTAAACTCACTAAACTCAAATCACACTTTTTGATTAGTTGGCTGTGATAGTTTGTGGTTCATTTTGCATTTGACTGAGACAGAAGACAGTACAAGGGTGTTGCAGCTACCTCCAGAAGAACCTCTACTGAGGGAATTAAGATCAAAGAAAAGGGGGAAATGTACAGGCAAAGTACCCAAGCAACACAACTCTGCTTGTGAACTGTTTCATACAATAAATACATATTTACCACTAGTAAAAATTGTCCCCAAATAGGCAAAGAATGTCTCAGAAAAATGTCTACAGAATTTGCTGTTCATAGGTAAAAGGAACTGTCAGGAGTTAATTTTTCACTTTAAGCAGTTTACACTGTAACTTTTTCAAAGTAAAAGTGATTAACATTTTATTAAAAATACAGAAGTAGAAAAAACTAATTAAAACTGCAGGAACAAAAATAACATCACATTTCAGATATTTAATAACGTAATGTCTGAATATATATACGTATATATGCAAGTCACTATACCTCGGGTTTCAGATCTCTATGGACTACTCCTACATCATGCATATGGCTCACTGCTGAAACAAGTCTGCGCATAATATGACTCGCTTCAGTCTCACTGAAATGTTTCTTTTTCTGAATACGCTCAAGCAATTCTCCTCCCTTCAGCAATTCCATTACTAGAAATGTGTGAAGCTGAAACAATGAAGAAAAAAAAGGCGTATTAGAAATTTAACATTACAAACCAACATTCATTCAGGAGCTAAATGCTATTCTGATAGGTTCTTAAAGTTTGAAGAAATAAAACTGCTGCTCATAGTAATTCATAACGCCAGTAAGCGGCACCAAATTGAATCTCAGATGACATTTTCCCCATCAATCTCACTGAGACTGGATAATGTTGATGTCTTTCCCATGTCCACCCACACTTATTTACAAAAATGCAATGCCACCATGTAAAAGGATAAGTTTGGATAAGGGAGACAAAATGCCTTTCTTTTGGATTACAAAGCTAGAAAAAAAAAAAAAAAATTCTGCTGTTTAAACCTGTTCTGATGTAGGGATAAATGTCTATCAATATGCATAAACAGGTAGACTTTAAATGTTACCAAATGCTTTAAAAGCACCATGATATTTTACTGTGAATTCAAAGACTACCTAGAATTTCTTCTGATTTCATCCCCTACAGAGAAGAAGCCAAAGCTACTCTACTATCAGAATCACAACACATACCTTCCCAAGCACTATAGAGTACTTTTTAAATTAAAAAAGTAATGATTGTTTAGATGATTGCTCTTTTCAAGATAATCAATAAGCAGTGACTTCCTTGATTATATGGCAACGTTAGCACATAATCAACTGTAATTCAAATGTCTTGCCATTAAGCAAAAGGCAGACTTCTCAGGATAGGAAAGTGAAGTTAGCATTCTCAAAAGGTAATGGATATAGGCATGGGATGGATTCTACATTTCTTTCTCCAGAATGATAGTAACAAAAGTAATACTTCAAGTAAAGAAAAAAAAGTTCTGGGAAAAGGTCAAAGAATGAAATCAAAAGAAACAGTCAGGAACAGAAGGTGCACAGTATTTAGGTATCAAAGAACACAAGCAGAGCTATGCAGACAGAAAGTGGCAACAGAACAAAGCGCCTCCTAGTCACATTTCTAGTAATACTTGTAAGATATCCTCTCCTGCAAATTTTCTTTATGTTTTGGGAGTAGCCAACAGGAAAATCAGGAAGGATAAAAAGACTTTTCTCTGCTAGAGAACTTCTTGTGGCTTATCAGAAGAGACTGCAACTCTATGGGTGGATTACTAACGTAGAATTTGATCAGACTGATATCGGAGCAGGTTAAAAATTGAAATTTTTTTTTTTTTTAAGACAAACCACAGAAATGTCAAACTAGAAAATTTAGAGCTGTTTCAGTCTTCAGAATATTGTGCATGATTAATCTGGAAGATACCATCTGGGAACCACCAAGACCAACTAAAAATACAATAGTTAGGCTGGTTGAGAGTAGCTTATTCAGTTGCAGAGCAATCTGAAGAACATATTTTTTTAGATATTCCTGAGTATAGTAATTTTACTCAAAGGAAAATGAAAAAAAGTGTCCTGTTCTACACATGCCTCATATTGTACATAAATGTAAAAAACTGCTTCCTTATCATTAAAGATTAATGTACAGAGTTTTCATCTTCTCATGCTCCACATGAGCACCCTGCTGGTCCTTGTATAAATAGCATACTGGGATAGACTGGGATATGTGGAGAGGCAAGAGAGCCCATAACAAAATCTAGACTAGAATCACAGAGTAGTTTAGGTTGGAAAGTACCTCTGCAGGACAACTGGTCCAAACCCCTAGCTCAAACCAGCACCAACCTCTAAGTTAAATCAAATTATAGCTTATTAGATGCTCTGGAGCTTGCATTATACTAAGAAAAAAGACAACTAAGGACTTAAAATAAACCCTAAACTAATCTCAGTATGTTTTCAAATAGAGGCACTACTTTCACATTTGGCAAGTTAGCAAGCTACAAGGTTATCTCCATTAATTTACTAATATGCCAGAAAAAAAAATGCAGTAGATACGTAATCTTCATATGTAAAATTTCCAAGTTATTTTACAAAAATTATTTTTACAAATACTATTTTAAGATTCATGACATCCACAAGGGAAGGTGATTATCTATTCACAGGTATGGAAACTAGGCCATGAATATAATGTATGACAATTAACAAAGTAGATCAAGGACAGAAATAGAATCCAAGACTCTAATTCTTCCAAATACTTTATTGATTTGGTAGAGTAACTTCAGAATGTAGAATGCAGAACTTCTGCTTCATCTTCTATACTGACTAGACAAAAGCCCTAGGGAAAAAAGTTGTCTCCACTGTAACAGTACGCTTAACTCCTAAAAGTTCCTGGGAAAAGACATGGCAAAGTATTTGGCTAGTGCTGATTATAGTTTCTTCAAAATACCTGGTCCTGAAAAACTTCATGCAACTTCACTACATTCGGGTGTCCTTCGCAGAGTTTCAGAGCTGTTATTTCTCTCTGGGTGTTGGCTTCCATTCTGGAAAAATTGAGCAGTCATTTTGTACCAGTTTTACTGGGCAAATTTCACTGAGCAAATTATTACTACTCTTTTTGTAATTACTTGCAATCCAAATTTTCTTAATATTACAACCACTTAAACACAATGATAAGCATATTCAAAGTAAGCTCAGCAAAACTCTCTACATAGCCCTGCAAGTTAGGACATAAAAAACCACACCCAAATAAACAATGTTTTTAATGCAACTGCAACTTGTTGCAGCAAAAGCTGAAATGATATTATAGAATAGTTTCCATTCAAAAAACCTTTCCCTGAGTCTAGGGCAATTTGACTTCACCTCTGTTCCTACAAGTATTTATTAGTTCAGCTTTATTGTGAAGACTCAAATTATTGGACCAATCCTTTTCCATTCTTATAGGAGGCAAGTACTTCCAATGCTGTATGGAAACTATGAACTCCTCACAGAGAAGAGTAACATTATCTACATATGAGCTGTGTTATACAAATGAACCCCTAAACAGGCCATTGTAGCAATATGAAAGAGATAAGAAGAGTAGCTGAGCAACAAAAATCATCCCACAAATTTTCTTTCAAAACTGAAAGCTATAGCCAAAAAGTTAACATGGTAAACATTATAAAACCTATGTGAATGGGGACAGAATAGAACATTTTGATTCCCAGTAAACATGGTGACTTATCTGGGGCAAATAATGCCTGATATTTTTTTTTTTAATTTTTTTTTTTCCAAAATTTTCCTTAAGAAAGGCTACTCAAGTAGTGACTTGGAGAATGGCCTTCAGGATAACGCAGATAAAAATCGCTCTCACACACGTTCTTAATTTTTGGTTGCATTCCCCACAACCCTCCATCCCACAAGAAATTAAAAAACCTGATTCAAATAATCTTTTCCCCCTAAGCTACTATAAGGAGAACGTGGGCCTAGGAAACAGATGAAAAAGGTTCAGCATCATGAACATCAACCTTTCTGCATGGACTTTTCTGAGTATTACCCCTCTGTAAATAGTTAACCATGTCAGATTTTAAACAGAAAATATCATGAAAAACAACTTAGAATCTCTAAAACAATAACTCAATCTACTTTACTGTTTCATTAGCCTTCAGACACATAGATAAACCTCAAATTGTTGGATGGAGCCAAGTCCAGCACTACTAACAAAGTAGCACCATAGAGGAACTCTTCATCCAAGCTTTCACTTCAACTATCATGAAAAGGTTTGCCTAGGTGTGGGATTCACTTTTGTGGCACCTCTGATGGGCAGGAGTGAAAGACTGACTGATTTGGAGGCAAAGAAGTTACCAGAAACCTATTATACTTTTCCTTTTAGCAAGAGTTACTAGAGTGGTCCTCAGAGCAATATTATTTACTGTTTAAAAGCTTCTTACTGAAGGCTGGTTTCTGTCCAGCCATTCAGAGTGTGGGTTTACTGCTCCCTCTAAATACTGCACAAACATGCTCTGAGTCTGCTCACAGCCTGCAATCCTAAAAAAAAAAAAAACCAACCAAAAAAACCAACAAAAAAAAACAAAACCACAAAACAAAGCTACTTAAAATATCTCTATTGCACGTGGACCACTTCTTTACCTTAATTTAGGACCTAAAAAAAGCTAGGAGGATTAGCCAGGTTAATAAATGCTTAAAAGGGTTGTGTCATAGTCAGGGGTTTGGGTGTCTTGAACATGGGACCCAAGTTTGTAGGCCAGGTCTAGTGGGGGCTGGTGGAGCTGGTCTGACAAAGGAAAGAGCACTTTTGGTAGGAGGCTTGCCAGACTGGTCAAGGAGGCTTTAAACTAGATGTGTTGGGGGAGGGAAGCATCATTCCATTCCAACACACCCAGTCAGTTGCCAGCACCTATAATAAATGCTTGGAGCAATGTAAAGATATCCCAGCTGCTCCAGCCAATGAGCCGGCTTCAGTTGGAGCTCAGCTCAGATGCCTCTATACAAATGCATGTAGCATGGGGAACAAACAAGAGGAATCAGAGATGTGTGCACATCTACGGGGGTATGATATAATAGGCATCACAGAAACATGGTGGGATGGCTCCTAAGACTGGAGTGTTGGAATGGAAGGTTACAGGCTCTTTAGGAAGGACAGGCCTGGCAGGCGGGGAGGGGGAGTTGCCCTTTATGTTAGGGATAGGCTGGAGAGTATGGAACTCTGTCTGGGGACAGGTGATCAGTCCACAGAGAGTTGGTGGATCAGGGTTAAAGGGAATATAGCTATGGGAGACATTACTGTGGGGAACTCTTACAGATCACCTGATCAAGGAGACCCGGCGGATGAAGCACTCCATAGACAGACAGGAAAAGCCTCACGGTCACAGGCCCTTGTTCTCATGGGGGACTTCAACCACCCTGATATCTGTTAGAAGGACAGTATGGCCCGGCACAAGCAATCCAGGAGGTTCCTTGATTGTGTGGAAGACAACTTCCTTCTGCAAGTAATAGAAGAGCCAACAAGGAGAGGTGCCATGCGTGACCTCGTGCTCACCAACAGGGAAGGGCTCGTTGGAAATGTGATGCTCCAGGGCAGCCTTGGATGCAGCGATCATGAGATGGTCGAATTTGAGATCCTCAGGACAGTGAGAAGAGCGTGCAGCAAGCTCACTGCCCTGGACTTCAAGAGAGCAGACTTTGGCCTTTTCAGGAACCTGCTTAGTAAGGTTCCATGGGATATAGCCCTAGAGGGCAGGGGGGCCCAAGGCTCTTGGTTGACATTCAAGGATCACCTGCTACAAGCTCAGGAGCGTTGCATCCCAACTAGAAGGAAGTGCAGCAGGAGGGCCAGGAGACCTCCTTGGATGGATAAGGAGCTGCTGAGGAAACTTCAAATGAAAGAAGTGAAGCAAGGACAGGCGGCCTGGGAAGAGTACAGGGATGTTGTCCGGGAAGCTAGGGACCAGGTTAGGAAAGCTAAGGCCCACTTAGAATTAAACTTGGCCAGAGGTATTAAGGGTAACAGGAAGGGATTCTACAGGTACATAATGAATAAAAAACAGACTAGGGAGAATGTAGGCCCCCTCAGGAAGCTCTTGGGAGAACTGGCTACACAGGATTTGGAGAAGGCTGGGGTTCCGAATGACTTCTTTGCCTTGGTCTTCACTGGCATAGGCTCTGACCAAACCACCCAAGTCTTGGAAGGCAGATGCAGGAACTGTGAGAATGAAGACCTTGGGCCCACTGTGGGAGAGGATCTGGTCTGAGACCATCTTAAAAATCTGAACGTGCACAAGTCCATGGGTCCTGATGAAATCCATCTGCGGGTCCTGAAGGAGCTGGCAAATGAAGTTGCAAAGCGGCTGTCCATCATATTTGAGAAATCATGGCAGTCAGGTGAAGTTCCCGACGACTGGAAAAAGGGAAATATAACCCCCATTTTCATGAAGGGGAAAATGAATGACCCAGGGAATTACAGACCAGTCAGTCTCACCTCTGTGCCTGGCAAAATCTTGGAGCAGATTCTCCTGGAAGGCATGTTAAGGCACATGAAAAACAACAGGGTGGTTGGTGACAGCCAGCATGGATTCACTAAGGGGAAATCCTGCTTGACCAATTTGGTGGCCTTCTATGATGGGGCTATGGAACTGATGGACAGGGGTAGAGCAGTTGATGTCCTGGACTTGTGCAAAGCGTTCAACACTGTCCCACACAACATCCTTGTCTCTAAATTGGAGAGACATCAATTTGATGGATGGACTACTCGGTGGATAAAGAACTGGCTGGATGGCCGCACACAAAGAGTTGTGATCAATGGCTCAATGTCCAGCTGGAGACCAGCAACAAGTGGTGCCCCTCAGGGATCGGTGTTGGGACAGGTCTTGTTTAACATCTTCATTGCTGACATGGACAGTGGGATTGAGTGTGCCCTCAGCAAGTTTGGCAATGACACCAAGCTGTGTGGTTCGGTTGATACGCTGGAGGGAAGGAATGCCATCCAGAGGGACCTTGACATGCTTGTGAGGTGGGCTGATGCCAACCTTATGAAGTTTAACCATGCCAAGTGCAAGGTCCTACACCTGGGTCGGAGCAATCCCAGGCACAGCTACAGGTTGGGCAGAGAAGAGATTCAGAGCAGCCCTGTGGAGAAGGACTTGGGGGTGTTGGTTCAGGAGAAAATGAACATGAGCTGGCAGTGTGTGCTTGCAGCCCAGAAAGCCAACCGTATCCTGGGCTGCATCAAAAGGAGCGTGACCAACAGGTCGAAGGAGGTGATCCTGCCCCTCTACTCTGCTCTTGTGAGACTTCACTTGGAGTATTGTGTGCAGTTCTGGTGTCCTCAACATAAAAAGGACACGGAACTGTTGGAACAAGTCCAGAGAAGGGCCACTTAAACAGGGGAAGTTTAGATTTGGTATAAGGAGGAAATTCTTTGCTGTTAGGGTGTTGAGGCACTGGAATAGGTTGCCCGGGGAGGTTGTGAATGCTCCATCCCTGGCAGTGTTCAAGACCAGGTTGGACGAGGCCTTGGGTGATATGATTTAGTATGAAGTGTCCCTGCCCATGGCAGGGGGGTTGGAACTAGATGATCCTAAGGTCCTTTCCAACCCTAACCATTCTATGATTCTATGATTTGGCCTGGTCCACCAAGATGAAGAAGAAAGAGCAGAAGAAACTGTATCATCTAGAAACATAATTTCTAAAAGTTCTATGGCTAAAGTCAATACTACTTTGCTCACTGTTACCCAGAAACAAAACAATGCATTAGCTTAAGATGAGACGGGAATACTGGTCCGCAGCTCTGCATGCACCACAGAAAAAGCTTTTGAATGTAGACACAAGGCAGGGATTTCCAGAGTGAAATACCCAATGCCGTGTCAACTGCATACTATGTGTCTAAGGTCTCATTACAATGAGTGAAATTCTACATAATTAATCTTAAAGGGTGAACTACTTCACTGCAAAATACACACCTAGAGTAGGATTCAGTGGCCTACGCATAGGAGAGCCTGGAAGACCTCGGCCATGAAGACATGTACATAAAGGCAGTAATCACAAGACAGAGGGGAACTGGAGAACAGAGAGGACACCAACAGATGCTAAAATGGCACAATGGAGATGCCTATGTTTAAGTTACTGAATCCCACAGCTAGAGTCTAGTCATTTGAATCTCTGTAAGGCTTCACTAATAGTTTTGAGTAGGCCTCCATTAATCATAGCACACCTCAGAAAATGGACTCAGACAACTATAGTTAGGTGTCTTATTCTTTGACTTTTCCTATCCAAAACACGTATGATGAAACGCTTAAGGCTGGTAGACAGTTACTTCTAGAGTCTGGAAAAACAGAGGTACAGCCTCTATTTTGGAGAAGAGATCACCATGAACTATCATTCTGATGGCAGAACATCTACACTTTCTCTTCCCTACCAGTATTCTGCAAGACACTGGGACATATTTACTAATGAACACTGCAAAATGATGCTAAAAAATCCACCCACTCATCAAATAATCCCTTATCTTTATTCTTCTCTGGACAGAAACTGCTTGAAGTATCTATTTTGGAAGAGGACCAGATGGTCCCCATGTACAAAGCAAGTCAGCTTCTTCCATTGTGGTGATGTCATTGGGACAACCAGGAAACGACACAATTTACAACTCACAACTCCATAGTCTCATCCCATTTTACACACACACAACTTGATCTGGGGTAACCGACACTAACAGATCCTTCTTTAAAGCAGTGTCCTAGGCAATCAATTGGGCTGCTTAGGAGAGGAAGCTATCATAAGCCTACATTCTGTTTTCTTATGTCTAGAGACAGGAGACCCTTATACCTTACTCTGGTTAGGAGCAAAATTAGGGGAAATTAGGGTAGAATACAACAAGGAACCAGAAAAGTACTCTTTAGGTTTCTCCTTGTGTCCTCCCCGACAAGAATAACATTTTGCTTCAAAAGACTTTCAGAATCTTTTAAAGGCCATAAGGTTAATAAAAGTTTCTGTAAATTCTACAAAAAGGAAAGAATATAAAAGTTATTCTTCTAATCCATGGGTGACAATAACAAAGAAGATATTTTTATTGTGTTATAGAATATTTATACCTTTTGCTAATTATTTTTACTGCATACTCTTGGGTAGTTTTCTTGTGTAAGCACTTTCGACAAATGGAAAAACTTCCTTCTCCCAATGGTTTTTCTTTCAGATCCAATTCATAATGATGATAAAATGGAGAGTCCTGTTAGAAAACTGTATTTAGTTCTGCAGAATACTTTTAGTATACACAGTCAAAAACAGGGTAAAGTTTTGTGAGAATTTTTAATCTACATTTAAAATTGTAAAAAAGCGCTCTTTTTGATAAAATATAATCTTAACTTCTATTTCATAAAACGCATAAACTTTATTCTGAGTAAATCTTATGTTACATTAAACTTAAACACTAAATAAATCATTACTACCACAATAGCTAATAATAAAAAATATTCAGACAAACAGGCTCAAAGATGGCTGTACATACATTTATCCACAAAAATCTTCTTTGAAGACATCACAATAGCATGTGCTCTTATAACCCTTCACACATCTATCCATGCTTATGGGTAAATACAGCATAGAAGGAATTCTGATATAATTAAAGTAGCTTCAAAGATATCTAAAATGTTTGGCTGAGTAAGAACTATCAGAAGTCAAAATAATATTACTACTATACTTCAGTCTTCTGGAAAGCACGATAATCATCTCATTTTTCAGATTAAATTTAAACTACATCTTAATAGTACCACATGCAAATTACAATCATCTGAGGAGCCATTACAAGGAACAGATAATTCAATAATGACTATTTTGTAATCTGTAGTCTAGCTTGTGATTGCTGCTTGGAAATTTATATGTAGTTCCAAGATAATCAAATCAACTCAGCTCCTGATATTATTATTACCTTCATCATAGCACTTCTGGCAATAGTTGTAGTTCCAGGCCGCTCATCCCCAACATAAAACTGAAGAGGATCTACTGTAGCTGCATTGCGTTTAAACAAAATAGACGGTGCAACGAAAGAATACCCCTATGAAATTAAAACATCAGAAAAGAACATGGCGTGAAATTGTTGCACACAAACTATGATACTGCATATGAGGCATAAGAAGTTTCAGAATTTTTTTTTTCAAATAAATTGGAATTTTCATAGTGATTCAGAAACTGTAACTATGTCTTTGATGGGTGGAAGGTATCACTCTGTTCAATGTAAACAAGTATCTTTCTGAGATTAGTTATATGATTCTTCACAGTAACAGATAAAAAAACAATACAAAAATTATGGTAAATTATGCTAAAAATATGGCTCAGCTTCAACTGTATTGCAATATGATAAAGAGTCATAATGCAAAGTAGCTAGCTTCCTAGAACACCTTTAGTTTAAAGCACAAAATAGTTATGTTGTGATGTAAACATCAAACCATTTTAAATGGCAAAACAAAAATAAGCTTCATATTAATGGATGTGCTCAGTTTGGGCATTCTAACAGGAACAGCTATGACTACCAGAACATATTATGACATGCATACATTGCACAGTACAGTCAAAATTAGTACAATTCTAGCAAATTCCAAAATATGATGTTACATTCTTGTACACTAAGCAGTATTAAGCAGCTCAAACCCAGACAATAAAAACAACAAAGTACAAGGATGTGTTGGAGAAAAAGCAATCCAGACTGCTGTTAACCTCTGCAGCTTTGGTACTGAGTTGGCTGCACATAAGCTCCTTCTGCCTATTTGACATCCAGACTGTGCAGTCCAACAAGGGATATAGTAGTCTAGTAACTGAAGCACTCCTACAGCACCCAGAAAACCATCTTTCAGCTCTGCAGTTAGCTCCTACTTCCCAAAGGAATACCCCAACTAGAGAATAACACAGACATGGACAAACTACATTGCTGCTGTTGAAGCTGGTATGCCAGGCTGATGGAGTCAAGCTGACAAGATTCTTAAGGTATGAATACTCGATAAAGGGCAGCCTGACTTTAGTCCAACAGGTAGGACACTCATCTGGGAACAAAGGCCATGCAATTTTTTGTTTGCAGTAGGACTGCTTCCACCTTTCTCATTTTGCAATTGCTGAATGAAGCCCTGAGAACTAGCATTGTAAATTACATAGTTACCAGGAATTAACTTAGAAGGCAGGAAAAAGAAACAAAACAAACTAGCTATACACATGCAATTGTTCAATAAATTATTGGGTTTATTGTTTTTTGGTTGTTGTTTTTTTTTTAAATTAATGTGAGTTCTTAAAATACCTGAAATATTCTTTCTGAAGTCTGAGGGGTTGCTGCAGGAGAATATGTTGGATCCATTTCTGTAAACTCTTCTGCAAAATTACTGACATCCAGCTCGTCTTTGATTACTGGTTTAAATGGAGCTGGTACTTTTTTGGCAGCTAAATCATCCCAATTCATATTCTAAACCAAAAAAGGAAAATAAGTTTGAATCAAATGAAAATTTAAAAGAAACAAATATTGGAAAGAGGGATTTGTTCAGAAACAGTCATAAATACATTTGCTATCGTCCATGGGCAGATGAAAAACATTCAAATTCTGCCCTACTAATTTGCTTAGATAAAGGCAAGAAGTATCATAATCACTGGCAAGTAGACAGAATCCCAAAACAAACAAACAAACAAAAAAATCAACACAAATTTAAACAGTGGAGATAAACGAAAACTGCCCTTATATTTCTTGGGGAATAACGTATTTTTGCAAGCCGTGGTGCATGCATGCAGTATCTTCAGTTTTTCATTGCTGATTTCTATACTTAATTACTAATCTTAGCTTCCAGAGCCCTGAGAACAAAATGCCTTCAGATTCTTACTTAAAGGCATGGTTGGAAGTAGAACATAAGCATAGATACAGTAGTTATGAGAAAGTGGCCCTATTATTGTATAGGAGTGGAAATGAAATGAAGTCAAGATTAAAAAGTTTTGTATAAGGAAAAAATGTATCTTCCAAAACAATCAGTGAATAAAGAAAGTTCAACGCTACTTTGTCAAACTCTCTTTTAAGAGGAAGGAAAATGAAAAGGAATGAGAAGAAATTCGGAAGTTAAAAATCCAAGATATTGCCCATGATGATTGTTATGATAATTAAATTGAAAATACTGATTTGAAAGGTTTAATTTATCAAATTTTATCAAATATTAATAAACTGAAATCTGAACAGAATTAAAATTTACTAAACAAGACTAAAGAATGAATTAGGAAAAGGAAAATACGTAAGAGGTGTTTATCCCCAATAGGGAACTTTATCAATATGCAAATTTTACTAACAACATTAGTGGCAAACTTTCCTTTAAAAAAACAACACAACATAGAAGTGTTTTCCATTAGACTTTCTGGTTTCAGTAACATGCATTTTGGCTGCTTCAAGTTACTTTTACAAATAGACGGAATACATTCAAAAAATCTACCAACCCTTCTTGTAGTCCACATAAAATCCATATGCATAAAAACATGGATACCCTTCCTAATTCAGTCCAAGATTATTCATGCAATTAACACACTCCTAAACTATTATGTAATAAAGCCAATAGGATTTCTTTAGACTTGGTTTTCAAAGGCACTAACACAGACTAAGTGGTATCTGGGGAGCTTTGTTTGTTTTACCTGGAAAAAGGGATGCTGTTTGATCTCATCAGCATCAGTGGGACCACAACCTAGCCTCTTCTTGGGGTCTTTCATCAAAAGACGCTGAATTATATCCTTTGACAGTGCACTCATTTCTTGCGGATAAGGTGGCTCACTTTTTAATATTCTCCTGTAAAACAAGTATTTGCTAATTACTTAAAACTCTTAATCAAAGAGTTACCATTCTAATGGTAGCATTTAACTTTCAACTTAAATTAAAAAAAAATATATTTGAGGAGATAAATTGCATAACTTAATCCACAAAAGAAAAACAAACCTCATTTCATACATACTGAGGTTACTGTTACTATTTAAATAAAATCTCATAACTACAACAGGTAGCTCCACTGAGAGATCACCTTGATTCCTAATAGCAGTCAAAAAAACCCAAAACCATTTCTAATGTTACAAATTATTAGAAAACAAAGATAAAAAACACACTTGGGCCATTTGAGGTTTACCTGCACCTTATATATTGTGTACAATGCTCATACAGAATGTGCTTCATATGAAGATCTACAAAAAAGGCTAGGACTATCTAGCTTAGGCAAATGGGGAGTTTAGGGATCTGGGCATAATGCTCCCTTCAAAATGATGAACAGCGAAGAGAACATGGATAGGGACCTCAATGTCTATTTCAACACAAGAACTAGAAGCCACCAAAGACAGCAGAATTTCAAAATCTCGGAAGCCTAGAGGAGAATGACATTTCAATACCTATCTCTTATATGAGTAGCCCCTGCAGTCTTATACAAAGAGGAAGGTTTGGCTCTGGGTGTTGAAATTTTGGGGGGAGAGAGGGAGAAAGGAAGTGCATACTTGATTTGTGGGTAAAATGAGTGGTGAAATACAACTGACAGCAACTTTTTTGTCATACAATCACAGGATGGAGAGGTTGGAAGCTTTCTGAGTATCTCCCAAGAAAAGACACTCTGCACCTCCCTGGGCAGCCTGTGTCAGTGTTCAGGCACCCTCAGAATAAAAAAAGTGTTTCCTGATCTTCAGAGCAAGCCTTTTGCATTTCAGTTTGTGCCCATTACCTCTGGTCCTGTCACTGGGCACCACTGAAAAGAGGCTGGCACCCTCTTTTTTGCACCCTCACTTCAGGCATTTACATACATTGATGAAATCCCCCTGAGCCTTCCCTTCTCCAGGCGGAATAGTCCAAGCTCTCTCAGTCTTTCCTCATATGCTTCAGTACCTTCAAATTCTTACTGACCCTTTGCTGGACTCTTTCCAGTATGTCCCTGTCTCTCTTGTACCAGAGAGCTCAGAACAGGACCCACTCTCTTAACTGCTGGTATTTTGTCTAATGCAGCCCAGGACACCGCTACCATTTCTTTGCCAGAAGAGCACATTGTTGAACTAGGTGTCTATATATGCATACTCTCAATGTGGTTACTTCAGGAAGCATGACACATAGAAGGAGGGACTTAACTTTTAAGCTAAAAGAGACTCCAAGGCTGAAATTATATGAGGCTGTGGCGGCACTAAAATCTTACTTGTTATAGGTCTCTGATGAGTTGATCACTGCATGACATTCCTAAACTTTGTTTAAAGTTACTGCATGACATCCTTAGATTCAGCTACCTCATGGGAAAATTTGTATCTTGAAATACGCAACTTCTTGGATAATTCCTAAAATAGATGCAGATTGTTTCCTAAATAATCCTGTCCTGTCAGTGTGGAAGGACAAAACCAAGTTCAATATGCACATATCCTAGGGTTTGTTTCTACTGACACTGTATCCAATTTCGAGCAAACAAAATGACAAAGCGAGCTAACTTCCTGGTTTAAGTAACACTGAAATGACTTAGGAAAATACAGCTCTTAAAAAAAAAGAAGTAAGACAAAATTGAGTTTTAAGATGGACTGCGTCTTTAAATGATGTAAGGATCATCCACAGTAAGGGTCTAAATTACAGCCACTCTGCTAGCAGAAGTAACAGCAATCATAAAGCCTTGTCTTCAACTTCTGGACACAATTCACTTTACAGAGAAGGAGAAGAAAGCACAGTACAGCCAAATGATTTCTTAATTAGGGATGTCAATACCAAATTTAAACATCACTAAACAAGAGGATTCTTACACTGTAGGACTGGTGAAGAAGTAAAGATTCAGCCTCTTCAGAAATCATCCAGTTTCAGAAAGGGGAAGCAGGTAAGGAAGTAAGAAAGCCTTCCTGTTGTAAGACATAAGACAGGACATCTTGACAGCAAAATTACTTGATTTATAGGAGGGCCAACAAAACCTGTAACATCTTCTTAGCCTGGAAATCAGTTCAGTTAGAGGAGTCAGAGAAAATTTATTTATTAACCTTTCTGATGTGAGAATCAGAAGGGTATGTAACAAAGATCTTGGGAAGAGACAAGCTCTCTTTGGGCTCTCAGAAGGGAGAAAAAAAAAACCCAACAAACTCAAAACCAAGTATTTTTTTAAATGGATTTCTAAAGCAATGAGATTGAAACTCTGGGATGTCCTTAGAATCCAAAAGATAAATTCTTAAGCATTTTCCTATCTGAAGAATGTCAGAGCTTTCAGATTACCAAATCAGATAAAATTTTGAAAATGTCTCTGAGAAAAGGTGCTGAATTGGGACAATTAGTAACATGGGTAACAGAACAAATGAGCACAATTTCTCTGTGCAGCCTAAGAAGATCAGTTTCTGTAGTAGTGATGCTGGTACGTGCTAGCAGTAAGATTTTTGCTCCTGTCTCAGGCTTCTGATGCAAATACAAATATAAGAGAGTGAAACAAACATAAGCAGTGGAGAGTCTTTTACAGAACTCTGCACTGCAAGTTAACCAGAAAATTCTTACCTAAAAGAAGTACTTCTGCAGTAACACTAGTAAGTCTATGTTAGCCAGGACGCTGATAAATGACGGAAAGCGGCTTGGTGAGCATTTCTGCCAGCTCCCTCAGACACTTGTGGGGATCCCATCCATTCCCATAGACTTGTGTGTGTCTCAGTGGTGTAGCAGGTGGCTGACCATTTCCCACTGGACTATGGGGGCTTCATTCTGCTCCTTATCCCTGTTTTTCAGCTCAGGGGGCTGGGTACTGGAAGAACAACTTGTCTAACTATTAAAGACTGAGGCAAACAAGGCATTAAGTACCTTGGTCTTTTCCTCGCCCTTTGTCACTGTTTCCTCCCTTACAATAAGAGATGGAGATTCTCCTTTGCTTTCTTTTGTTGCTAATGTATTTATGGAAACATTGTTATTGTCTTTTATGGCAGCAGCCAGATTAAGCTCTAGTGGGGCTTTGGATCTTCTTCTTTTCTCCTTGCAAAACTTGACAACACTCTGTCCTCCAGAACTTCTTCCAAAGGCAATAAAGTCTTCCCCCCCCGAGTTCCAGCCAAAGCTCTCTGCTGTTCAGCCAGGCTGGTGGTCTTCCCTTATCGCTTATCTTTCGACACACGGGGACTGCCTACTCCTGCACCTTTGACTTCCTTAAAGAATGCCCATACCTCCTGGACAACTTTGTCCTTCAGGACTGCCTCCCAAGGGACTCTGTCAACCAGTCTTCTAAAGAGGCCAAAGTCTGCCCTCTGGAAGTCCAAGGTAGCAGTTCTGCTGATCCCAAACCTTACTTCTCTGAGAATCGAAAACTATCGTTTCAATACCTCTATGGCCAAGTCAGCCTCCAACCATCACATCACTCACAAGTCCTTCTTTGTTCACAAACAACAGGTCCAGTGGTGCATCCTCCCTAGTTGGCTCCCTCACCAGCTGTATCAGGAAGTTACCTTATACACCCTCCAAGAACCTCCTAGACTGTTTTCTCTCTACTGTACTGTATTTCCAGCAGACATCTGGTAAGTATTATACTGAGGGATATCTCCCATTTGTTGACCTTCTTACAGCTCACTGCAGAGAAGGTAGCATTTTGTCATGCTGTACAAGCAGACTCCATGTAAGCTGCATTTATACATGCCAGTGGCATTAGCTCAGAAATACTTTTGAGGTTCAGAGGTTCATAGATACTGTAAAATATTCATGATGCTCTGGACTGTTTCACAGAACCACACTATAAAAGTAGTGAAGAATGAAGCCAATTTCTTTAGAAGTTCCAGGCACTACTTACAATTATAATGGAATTGAAGTATGTGAAGCTGTGTACACATTATTTAGGATGAAAAGAAAGCTGCCAGAAAAGACAGACCATATGGGATCAACATGTGGAAAAGCAGAAACTGGTGAAAACTAATCATGCAGCTTGATCAAGTAAAGAGTCTGGCTTCAGTATCACACCACTACTGTACCAGTAACCCATAAAGTGTTCAGAGGAAATAAGCTGCATGTGTCAAAATCCTTCCTGGTATGGCTGCGCTTCTCAAAAGAAGCTACAGCCTTTAGCATCAACCTTCCTTTCCTTTTCTGAATCACCTCCATCCCCTAGCATATTTCATACTTACACGGATCAATAACAAGCAGAGAATAAAGAAAGGAATCCCAGTATGCACCTACTATGCATCTTCCCAACAGTTTTGCAAATGAAAGGATTCTTGCAGAATCATGGGCAAAATATCTTCATAGTATCTAACGGATGGTCACATTTCAGCCATCCTGCATGAAGTTTAAGTGAAGTCTAAGCAACTATGTCAAATAAAGAGCACAGGCTGTTAGCATTAGTGTGTTCTACAGATTATTTTATAGATGCATATACGTATAAAAATGGAGAAAGACAGATCTATCTATTCATAACCCTAAAGGTAGAAATATTTTTTAAACTGCTGCACAACAGCAATATACTACCTCAAAAACTTCATGCTTATTTTAAATCCCTGTAGGTATGTCAAGTTCCTAAAAAGTCAACCCCTTAAAATGGACTTGCCTTTCAAGTCAGCACTACAAATAACCCATGATCAAACTGAAAATACTGAGTTTGTAATCAAATCCAGCCCTTGGCTATGCTTTTCCAAGATGGGGCCCCCATCCACAGCTCTGCAGCAATGGAAGTCCAGAATTCTCAAAATGAATTGGAAAGAAGCAAGAAGAAAGGAGAGAGGGCATACTAGAAAAAGAGTTACTTGAACAGTTCTGTGATATTTTTTTTAAATGAGGTTTAATACCCCAAAACACCAAAAATGTGAACAAAAAGTCTTCAGAGACAGACACAGAGACATAAGCAAGTGCAAACTTTAATTTCCCTTAAGTTTCACTTGCCATGAAAGAGGAGTCCAACAGTTGTCAAAAAGCTTACAATAAAAGGACTGAATACAATCCCTCATCAGAAAGAGTGAAAAAGATACAAACCACAAAGTAACTGTTCCTGACAGAAGAACTGAACTGTTAGAGAGATACTTCGTAATAAACTCTGTGGTCACAGTTAACAGCAGATAGCCATTGTGCTATGCAAAGGAATACAGTTATATAAAAATATCTAAAGATTACTTCCCATCAAGGTAAAATAAAGAAGGACCTGGATTCACTTAGAAGTCGACATTTTTCTTTAATCTCAATAAAATCAAACGCCATGGAAACTATGCTTTCAGGACTTGTGACTGGGTAAAAGAAAATTAAATTCTTGAAGTCTGCTGCAATCAGCAAGTTAAAGTATATTTAAGTTAGGGAACATAATTTGCTTAGAATAACTCTGCCATCAAGAAAGAAGTTTATACGAACTCATATCTCTCTCTCTGCCAGTGATAGTGATTTCATTACCACTGTCAACTGTAAGTATCTGATGAAGTTATCTGCAACTCGGATTTTCATCAGTTCAGAGAGGAAATGAAACTAGAAAGAGCAAAGATAGTCACAGAAAGAATGTGGAACCCATTTAATTATAGGTATAAAATTACCTAGCATCTGCACCCCAGTTCAACAGAAAAGGTTGTAAACATCATTGAAAGAATTAATAATCAGACAAAAATGACATTAAGTGTAAATTGCAAATGTATCTTCAATGAGAAAACTATCAAAGGTAAGAAAGGAAATAAAGATCACAGCTTCTAGGCCAGACAGGCTCAGAGTAAAGATAGGTACTGAAAATTCAGCTGTTACTTCTTGAAAAACCTCAGTGTACTCATGCTAGCAACAACTAAAAGGGGGGGGCATTTCTGAAAAGCCACGAATCTGGTAATTTCTAAATTTAACAAGGTAGCATGTCAGGAAGGGCGAGTCATTTCTTTCAGGCATGCTTTCAAGCAAGCAGCTCAACAGCTTCCCAATCTGCAGCAAACTCTACATAGCTCTTTTCAATCCTTAGAAAAGGGGGTTCTTTCCATCTTCTCTGACAGGTACTTCTGCTCCCTTCTCACCCTCTGCTTTTGCTGCAGGAGCACTACAGCCTCCTGGTATCTCACACATATTATGCTTGCTCTGCTCTACCCTACCCTCACGGGAAGCCCCACCACACTCCCATTGCTCCCCAAGGCTCACAGCAAGCACCATTCCCCAGAAGGTTCCACATGACTCAGTGCAGCAGCCAGGACACAGAAAAAAAAAATCCACATTCTCATATGCTAAGCCACTCTCTTAAAAGGAACATAACACTCATTAGATAATAAACGGCAAACACACAAAACGGATGTCATCCAGGCCAGAAACTGCTATCAATGGAAAGGATTCGGAAACCATGGGTCTTGTAAGTACTGAAGTAACAGAAGATAGATGAAATAATGTCTGAATAGAATCACAGAATGGTTAGGATTGGAAGGGATTTTAAAGATCATCTAGTTCCAACCCCCCTGAGAAGGACAGGGGCACCTTCCAATGCAGTCATAGTTGGGACTAATGAGATTTCAGCTATATAGTAGGGGCTTGTCAGTTAGAAACGAGAGAAAAGAAGGAATTAGATCTATCAGTCCACCACTGGCATGAACAAGACACCACCACCACCACCCACTCCCCCAAAAAGGAATATCTTTTTGTTCAGATGGTGAATTATTACTTCCTTTAAACAAGATCCTCTTGAAACATCAACAGGAATAAACCTTCTATATGTAAGAAAGAACACCACAAGCTGAGTTAAGAAAAGGCTTTTTCAGAAACAAGAAGACTGGGGAACATATTTAAATAAGGGAAATTGTAAGAATTTGCCTTCTGAATTTATCAAAATAAAAGCTGAAAGATTATAGGATTGCTGTCTAGAAATGTGTAGCATAAACAATGACCAGAACAAAAGCATACTCTTCAGCAACAGAGTAAATTTGTCACAACTATATTTAGATCAGAAATTAGGTTATTAGCCATCAGAGGATGGATGCTGACAACCTTGCAGTTTCTAAGCTTTGAATTTAATCTTAAATTATCAGAAAGATTAAGATAGTAAAAAGCACATAAGGACCTACCAAAAGACAGTCAAATCCTGTGGAATACATCTCTGAAGTTACCCAGTTTTGGAGAAGAGTAAGATCTGCAAAACTAAGGCCAAGATTCTCTCTAAAAAATTTGGAACCCCTTCACAGTTCCATTTAGGAGTCAAGTAAGCAATCAGTAAAATTTCTAACCCTAAATATGTCAGAAAGAGTTAATTCAAGTTGTAACTCCAGCACAATAACCAGAAAGGTGAAGCTCTGAATTTTATTAACTGATTCCGCTTCCCCACACCCCCCTCCATTTTTTCCAGTGGCTCTCTAAAGTTTCCTGTTCTCGTAGAGACCTAGAAACCAATAAACAGATCTCAACCTTCCAAGAAGTTGCAAAATTCAGAACAGAAGTAAAATATATTACCTAAATAATTGATGTGTGTTTTGTTGCCCATTATAACCTTAAGTATCAAGTGACTTCAGGGGAGGGTCATAACCATAGTAATATATTCCAGCAGGAGCAAGACTATTCTTAGTTTGGGGCCTGGACTTAAAAGCTGATCTTGACAGCAGTTAACTTATTTGTGCAATTTAAGCCCTCAACTCTCCATTCCAAGAGAAAACCAGTAATAGGAAATGCTAATTTTTGGGGGAGATTTCAGTAACGTGTTCTGGGCAAACTTACTGCTTTGTCTTTTTAAAATGCTCCTGTGCTTTTCCCATGGGCATTGAAAACAAACCTTTAAAGTGTAAGGATTACTGAACATATCAAAGCTGATAATCAGGAAAAGTTTACAAAAGAATGGTACAGGATATCTCATTTCCATATGTAACATATTGATTTATTCTCAGATAGGCGAGTATTGCTAGAAAAGATCACGTTGTTTCACATTATACACTAATAAAATAAACAGTAAATGTGACAAAAAGGTGGTAGCAGAGTACATCCTGAGAGTTGAAATCTGTAGCCTGATGGAAAGATCTAGCAAGAGCTGACAAAAATCTCACAAGCTAAATACACATTTCATTACGTATCAAGATCTTGAATGTGATAATTCTATTTAGATATATTTCATTTGCCTTCCTTTTCAACAGTAAACATGCAGCAGTGCTGAATATCTACACAACTGTCATTTCACTGCAGTTTACACGAAACAGTCTTATGTAAAGGTCAGTTGCAATGTTTCAAAAACCTGCTGAGGTTAATAAAACCTATATGCTTCTAGAAGTCATTCTGTTAAACAAAAGAGGAGCACCTAGAATGCTAGGCTGGCAAAACTTTCTTCCTAAATTTTAGATTAAAACTCCTACAACACATATATTCTGGCATAAGCATCACTGTGAGCAAGAATGTATATTTTACTGTTTTGAATCTTACCTAGAAATCTCTGCTTGAGAATTCTTCTCTCCATCAACTGTAAATGGTGATGCTCCAGTTAATAATTCATACATAAGAACACCAACACTCCACCAATCAACAGCCTATAGAACAACAATAATTGTATATATTACGATACACTGCAGTAAAATTGTTAACGAAGGAATGAAACAATGCACCTTGAAAGCAACTAGCAATAGAAGAGCCCACCTATCAATACAAAGGATACAATAAAGCATGAACAACTACAGTCCTGATTGGAGGTATTTTCTAAATTAATTTTGTTTTGCAATCTCTCCACTTCACTTCTTCAACTAATTTCTCAAGCTGAACTCTTACCACTCACTACTAAAGTTACACACACACATGCACCCTGCCACCAGAATTCATTTTTATTTGTGAAGTTATAATAACTCTAAAAGTACACAAATTAATACAACTTAAGCCTTACTAAAAAGTAGTGGAACCTGAGCTTTTAGGAGCTTGAGAATAAAACTAAGGAACTTTCAAAACACACAGTTTAAAAGCACAGACCACGGTTAATCAGGGCACCCAAAAATGTGATGGAATTTTATCTTATATTCTCTGGTAACAGATGTGATCTTTGGCTTCCCATGTGTTAGTAATATTATTTGTGCCTCTGATACATCATAACTTACAAAATATTTCTCTCCTAAAAGAAAAGATATTGCTATGAATAATAAAGGAAGCAGTTTAGTAATTTCAAAAAAATTAATTTAACTACGGGTGTTTCAACTTCTCGATTTTACTTACAAGAAATTTACAAATCAATGAAACTGAAGTTTTGTTTTACTCATGCTGACAACAGTAACTCATATAGGAAGATAGTTCCTGAAATTATGACATTTCAGGTTTTTTGCTTCAAGATACACAAAATTGGATGCTTTATGTATTCAGCCAAGAGTGTCCAGAAGAACTGACTAAAGAAGTCTCTGTACTGTCAGTAATTATTTTTGAAAATACACATCAATCAGAGAAAACAAAGAAAAAAAATTTCTTGGCATGTATTTTTCAAATAGAAAAGGAGTATCTCCAGATTCAGAAATGAAACTTTAAAAACATAAAAGCTGAAATAATAGTCATTCTTTTAGACAAACAATAAAGCTATCTAGAAGAGATCACAAATCAAAAACATTGATAAGAGCACAGCATACTAAAGCAATCTCATTTCACCTTTTTATTTTAAAGATAAGATCTTTGAGTTGCTAGGTACGCAGTACCTAGTAATCTAACACTGCATCACATCACATCCCTAATGATGAGGCAAAGAGCGTGTGGGGTAAACGGCTACCATTACATACATAACTGCAAAATCACCCTTGCTTATCAGCTAACATTTGGTATCAAACTGCAAAGCTATTGCTTATAGAATACTGTATGGCTGTACACTGCACCTAATGGAAGATGAACCAATCAAAATAACAGAACAGAGATTCCTTTTTAAATCAGCCGTATGACTGAATTGCTAAGCACTTCAGAAGACAGAATCAGAATTCAAAGTGATGCATTGGAGACATACTCTGAAATTTGCAAGACTAATGCAAAAAATAGAAGGTAGGAAAGCTTCAATACATAAGTTTGTAAAACTCAATTTTTAATAATGACTAGGCAAGCAGTACAGTGGAAAAAAATGCAGCTGTTATAGTGGAATACAAAGTAGGTGTGAGACAATGACAAAGTGAAAAGACAAAGCACATTCCATTTTATGCTTAAAAGAATATTCAGGGAAGTAATCGTTCTGCTGTACTTCAAACTGACAACTCTTAGTTGAAAAACTGTGCCTACTACAGTGCTCCCTACCTGAAAAAATATACAGGAAACTCAAACCAAAAGGGATACAGAATGTATAAAGGAAAAGAAAGAACATTCTCACATAAAAGTTTGACTGAGTCGTTAGTCTAGAGGTTATGGTGTCATGACACTTTCCAGTGCTTAAAAAAACTGTTATAAGAGGAACTGTGATCAACCATGTTCCATGACCCCGACAGAAATACAAGAAAAAGATATTATATATTCCCTAAAACTTCTCAGCATAGTGAGCAATCAAAGAATTTACTTAGGAATATAGTAGAATTGGAGAGTAGGGTTTTTTTTGTTTCAAATATCACCTGTGCATTAGGGTTGTCCTGATCTTTCCCATCAATTACTGACACTTTAATTCATAATAAAATTTGAGCCTCAAGCTAAACAGAATTATTTATTTTATAATCTGAGAACATAACATTTATAACCCAATCCATGCTTCAAAAAACATAAGCTATCCCTGATATACAGAGATTTTAAATTTAAAAAAAAAATATATATATCTGAATTAACCACAAAACAGTAATTTTTCCACTCTGAACTTAAATAATTTTATAATTAGAAAGACGTGTCGGCTAAGTATTTTTGTCCCACTGCACATTTGGAACAATTTTTTAATAGAACACAAATAAGTCTCGATGCCTTCATAAATAAGATTAAAACCTGAAAACATATTGCACTGATGTTTTTAAATGTAGGTAATAATCTGTTAGGACAATCTGAAATAAGGCACGCTTAAATAAGACACTATCACATTTTACAAAAACACCTCAAGCTGAACAACAGTGTTGCCTAAAGAGTTAATTTAGATAGAACTATTGACTTGTTGCTGTTGGTTGACAAAAAGCTCAACATAAGCCAGCAGTATGCTGGACTGCATCAAAAGGAGCGTGACCAGCAGGTCAAGCGTGGTGATTCACCCTCTCTACTCTGCTTTCATGAGACCCTACATGCAGTACTGTGATCAGCTTTGGGGCCCCCAACAGAGGCAGGCCACAAGGATGACAGGAGAGCTGGAGCACCTATCTTAAGGAGACAGTCTGAGAGGGTTGGGCTTATTCAGCTTGGAGAAGAGAAGGCTCTGGGGAGACCTTAGAGCAGCCTTCCAATGCCTAAAGGGGGCCTACAAGAAATCTGGAGAGGGACTTCTGACAAGGGCATGTAATGATATGACAAAGGGGAATGGCTTTAAACTGACAGAAGGTGGATTTAGATTAGACATTAGAAAGATATTTTGTACTGCGGGGGTGGTGAGGTGCTGGCACAGGTTGCCGAGAGAAGTTGTGGCTGCCCCATCCCTGGCAGTGTTCAAGGCCAGGTTTGATGGGGCTTTGAGCAACCTGGTCTAGTAGGAGGTGTCCCTCCCTATAGCAGAGAGTTTGGAACTGGTTGATCTTTAAGGTCCCTTCCTAACCAAATCATTCTATGATTATATGAACTTAAAACATACCTTGTCATGTCCTGTGTCTCCTCCTCTTACAATATCTGGAGCCATGTATTCTATTGTTCCACAGAAAGAATATGCTCTTTCATTCTAGAAAAAAAAAGAAAAAAAAAAAGAAGAAAAAAAAAAAAAAGAAAATTCACATAAAAAAAATTTGTATTACACAAATCATATGGGACAGATATGGCTAACAGTTCCAAGATGCTGGTAGCAATTCTTCTCCAAATAGCTCAGAACTGCTAGCTAATATTCCATCATATGTAGAGAGGTATCACATAATGCTACAGAATATATACAGTCTTCTATGAAGAAATAAAATGTCATAGGTTTGTGTGGCAGTCTAAGGTAAGCACACAAAAAATAATGTATTGGAATTTTACAAACTTCCCCAGATGATACAGACACACATTCTGAAGGGCAGTATCAATAGTCAACAAATGAAACCTTCTAATTAAAAGAACATTTCATTGTAAGATATGCAATTTGACTAAACTGCATACAAGATCCTTTGGGTTCACCATATTTAGGGATTTATTATGACCTCTAGAAAAGTAATTTTCTTTTGTAACAGATACATATATAAAACCACAACATTCTCTCAAGAAGAGACTTGGAGAGAGGCAAGAGAAAGAAACAGAAAGACAGAGATGTAGATTCCATTTTATTCTATACACTGAAGTTATTGCCTTGATTATGTTCAAAACTAAGCTGCTTTCACAGGCATGTATAATTGTTCCCTGGTAGTGATTTACCTTTGAGGTCAACATGAGGTCATGCTGTACCTTGCTAATGACGAAAGCACATGTGTTTGGGCCATGCAACATTGTTCCTCCCTTATCCTTCAAGCTTCTAGCATTTTGGGGAGAGATCCTGACAGGTCCTTTAAAGAAGAGTGTTCAAAAAAGCAAATATTTCAAAAGTCAGGTTTTACATTTGTAGATTCAGATTTGGAGTTTAAAACAGGTGCTATATAAGAGAATGTACTACGCTAATGAGAAGAAGCTTCTATCACTAGAAATAGTGCTCAGTGCTACCCTGAGGTATAAAAATTAAGCAGTCCAACAGCATTTTATTAAAATACATATACTGTGACTGGTTTGGAGGGACAAAATTCTGAGTTCAAAATAGTTATAGGCCTCATTTTGATCAAATCTTATCTTGAAATATTTTCTGAGACAAAACCATAAAATAATAAACTTTTCATAATTCCAAAAAATTTCTTTTGACACAACTATTATTTCTCTTTGATGATCTTTTCCTGTACCTGTTATCTAAAAGAAAAACAGTGTGATAAAAAAGCAAAAACAAAAAAAGAATTTCACAAATTCCTAACCCTTGACCCTGGCATTAGCCAATCTAAAGCTACTCATATATCCCTCTGTTTATTTTTCCTTCAGCTGTGAGGAGGGAGTGGGGAGAAGTAAAAGAAGGAAAAGAAAGGAGAGTGAAAAATACAAAACACTGTTCTTCACTTGCTGCCTCTCCAAAGAGTAAAGATTATGCAACCAAGCTGAAATTTATTAAAACAATTTATAATCCTAATATATCAAAAGAAAGAAATGAAAAGTATTAGCACTTAGCTGCAAATTCAGCAAATCCACAAAATCATGTCTTTTTTTGTCCTCATGTTGTATAATAAAGCTAGGCTATAAGAACTACAGTGACAAGAAACAGACTGGGGAATCATCTGTGAACGTATACAGAGGTACAGCATAACTCTTATCATCTCAGGTATCTCCTGCTGCTGAAAAGGCCCACTAAAACCACTTCAAAACAAGCAGAATTATTAGTAGTAACTGTTTTGAGAAACTCTATGTAATTGGTGGTTCTGATTTTCAATTACATTTACTTTTAACCTTTTTTTTACCTTTAACACTCATTATAGCTTTTGATATGAAAGATGGAATTTATGAAACAATATTTACACATTTATTTTATTTCTTTCTTAAATTCAAGTTTTAGGTATTTTCTGTTCTTTGTAAAATTCAGTGTTTAAAACCCCAAAAATAATTTTGGAGGTTTAAAAAAATTGGTGTACTATTAAAATAATTTCTTATAATTAAATTTCAACATGAAAAACTCATACTGCAAGTCACAAACAGGCAGTTATATGTTTGTAATAAGGTTTATAAGAAGTCCAACTTCTAATGCACACAGGTAAGTACCTTTACCTTTAGCTATTGCTTCATTGTGTAGAATGTAGAAGTGGCCTACTGCTAAAATTCAAGGCTGAACCAAGCCAAGAAGCAGCAGATGATTATCACAAATTTAGCAATTTCTTAGCAACAAATTTAGTATATTGGAACTCAGCATTAGGTAGGAAAAAAAAAATGACCCTCTGAGCATTTTCATAATCAACACTGATTTCCCATTACATGTTCCAGCATCATATTCCAAAAGCCTTGTTAGAACCCTCTTACGACTGTTACAGGGTGATCATTAAGAAAACACTCTGGTAACAACTATATATCGTTTCCTATTTAACCACACCAAAAAGCTCAGAGGACTACAGCACTCCTCAGAACATCAATCAAGCCAACTGTCTGAAATCAAAGCATTCTGACTCAACTAAAAATTGGCACAGATTTAGCTTCATAAAACGCTGTACAAGGTCCTGACTTCAGGTAGTTGAAGTCACAAGATCTGGATATTTATTTGTTAGACACCTCTGTCTATGTTGTGTTTTATTAAATTACAATCCACACCAACTATATCTGTTACTTACAGAATACAGTTTTTATAGTATTTTCCCTAGGAGTACTTATGTGAATTTGTCAGTTAAATATGCCTCTTAGAGGGAGTCACTAATAGTCTTTACTATTATGCATAACATGAGGATTTAAAACCATTTTCAAAGAATGTTACCTCCAATAAGTTTCCTTTTTTGTCCTAAGACATGGACTTACTGAAGAAAGTCCAGCAAAGGGTCACTAAGAAGATGAAGGTACTGAAGTATATGAGGAAAGGTTGAGAGAACTGGGACTGCTGCACCTGGAGAAGAGAAGGCTCAGGGGGATTTCATCAGTGTATATAAATGCCTGAAGGGAAGGTGCAAAAAAAGAAGGTGCCAGGCACTTTTCAGTGGCGCCCAGTGACAGGACCAGAGGTAATGGGCACAAACTGAAATGCAGAAGATTTGCTCTGAAGATCAGGAAACAACTTTACTGTGAGGGTGCCTGAGCACTGGCACAGGCTGCCCAGGGAGGTGGTGCAGTGTCTCTGCTTGGGAGATACTCAGAAAGATTCTGGCCATGGTCATCGGCAACTGGCTCTAGGTGACTATGCTTCAGCAGCAGGGTTGGACCCGATGACCCCCAGAGGTCCCTTCCAACCTCATCCATATTGTGATTGCATGACAAAAAGTTGCTGTAAGTTGTATTTCACCACTCATTTCACCCACAAATTAACGTATGCAGGCCACCCACACCCTCCAAAAAAAAAAAAAAAATTTGAAAACCACAAGCAAACCCTATTCAGCATTTTGCCCCCTAATTTACATTTCATTCAACTGGAATGTATCCATGAATACCAGAACCCACATTATTAATACTGTCAAGATATAAGATGTAAGACAAGAAAGGAAGTTGATAAACGACTGAACTTTGATTACCAACAGGTGAATACTCATTGAACACACACGTTGCAAAATACTTAAGAATTTTTTGCATAACACAGAATGCTCATTTTCTTCCCTCACTTCACATGCACTGCGGTTCCCTCTTCCAAGTTGTAGAACAACAGCAATCAGACACTAATGTAAGAAAACAGAAGTGTGACTAACCCATCTCCAATAACTAAATATGCCAATATTGACCTTGTCATTGAAAGACTGTCATTACATTTGTTCCCAGTTGGCAGTGCTTCCATGTTTACAGATAATCTAGCAATAGTCTTCAGTCTTCTAGCACACAACAGCTGGTTTTAATTAATTTTTTTTTTTTACCCAGTTCAGCATCATTCTTGAATGTTCATGCAGTAACATAGGTTTTAGTAAAGGTAAACAAAGTGACTACTTCAAACCTGTTGGTTGCTGAAGAGTGTAACAACTTTTCATGAAGCCACTGATATGGAGAGAGTTTTGTTACAAGATTTTTTGATCAGTGAACAGAGACAGCTTCACCTGGACAGCCAGGCAGCTGACTTTGATAAACCATCCCTCTCTTAAATTGGAAAACCAAGTTATATTCCCTTAACACTTATTCTTTGAGATGAACAGCACACTGACACTGTGGATGTGCCTATACGTAATACCAGACTGTTTCTAATAAATACACTAGCACTACATTTGGGACAGATCTCTAAGTTTTTCTGCTCCACTGATGGCAATATAAAAAAAGTCAGTGCACTGCCCTCTTTCCAAATTCCTTGCAGTCATTCTGACTGATCTGAGAGGATCCCAGTGAAATGCAACTGCTTCAACTTATTCAGGCACTTTCAATACCATGTCTGTATGATCCCTGAGGCCTTTACTTCAGATCATCTATTTTAGCATTCCACTTTCCTTTTTCTTCATCAAAAAATAAAGGGCACTAAGCAGCTTTAGGACACAATTAGAATTTTGTAGCTGTCCAAGATGGAGAGGTGTAACATGGATTAACATTTGCCCTGAAGACAGTCACTTCATCAAAGAAAAAAAACTTTGCAAAAATGACAGTAATCTGAGACTATGTACACTGACCTTGGCAGGTTGACCACAACTACACCATTTCCAAAGACCAAAAAAAAACAGTTCCAAAATTCAATTAGAAGTGCTGACGGAAGGATGATGGTCTTGAACACCCACGCTCTTGATGACCTTGTGGTATTGTCACTTGGCCTTGCTTTATAAGCAGGGAATGCTAGGCAGGCATTTGAAACTACATGAAGCCATAGAAAGCACATGTGCAAACTTTTTTCCTCAAAGACATAGAGAACTTAAGTAAGCCTTAAAAGTTCTCTAATGAGGGCTCCTCATCAAGTACAAAAAAGCATGTTACCAGTGGCAGAAAAAGCAAGACATACATAATTTTAGGGAAAGGGCACTGTGAATATCTTCTTTGCTCAGCCTGTAGCTGTGCCTGGGATTGACTCGACCCAGGTGTAGGACCTTG